GAGTTAAACGACGCGGTTGGGTTTGGACACGAAAACCCCCTCCTTTTTTCGGAGAAAATCGGGCTTCATAGTGAGTCCAGATGGGAAGGATATTTGAGGCGCGCGCGCGCGGGGGGGGGGCGTACTCATTTGTTGCTTGCCGTAGTCATTTGACCATTGACCACGCGTCCCTTTCGAGACGGAGCACCGTTCCTACACCTACTAGAGACACCACCAACATTTGGGAGCTCTTTACGTTTCTGCCACAAACTCCATAAAAATTTCTGTGCACATCTTATCCCCGTCCTCTAGGGCCTCTTGTGCCCACCATCTATCCCCAATTATCGCGATCGTTTTTTCGCTGTTGTCTAATTTACCAAACTTGTCCATGTCACACCCTCTCTGTCTCATTTCCTCCTCGAGATCCTCTCTTTCCTTCCTGTACAACTCACACTCCCCAACTATGTGGGGTCTACTCTCCTCCGATTTGCCACATGGACATGTGTGTCTATCCTCCTCTTCCTCTCTCCTACGGCTGGTATTCCTCTTCCTCCGTTCTGGCAAGTCCAGATCGCCTACTCGAAATAGCAATTTCAGCTTTTTCGCGTAGTCCATGGGGGGGGGGGGGGGGTAGGCGTACTCATCGGCTGTTGCGTCACATAACAGTTGTCTTTTGATCGCCGACCACGCGTTGAACGACGGACGAACCGAGCGAAAGCCGCCACCCCTTGTGTCTGCTTGACATGTCCTTTCCATGTCCGCCTTGCCCGTCCTTCTTCCTCTCCTTCTTGTTTCGTGTATTGTCCTTCTTTTGCGTCCGGACACAAACAACGCAGGAAGGCCGCGGGGGAGAGGCGCGAAGTAAACGCAGAGGTCGAAAACGGAGGCTGTGATGCTGGTGCTCGAGAGCACCGGCGGCCGGGCGCGACCGTGCGTGGCGGGGGGGGGCACTCGCTCGTGGATGCAATGCATGCGTGGTAACAACGGAGATAGATATCAACGACCATAAATTCGTCACGACGGGGTCCCATGGCGTGTTGCGGTCGGCCATGCTGCGGTGTATTCCTGTGTGAAGATATTGGTGTCCGCCTGAGAGGTGCAAACCGTGGGGGGTTCCACGTAGATAGGTAGGCTACGGTGTGTAGATAAAACAAGTCGATCGAAAAACGTGTGCGTGAGGTCACGGCGGCGGTGTGAGACGTACACGCACGTTTTGCTTCCTTGGCAGGGGGTAACGTTCAGTACTTGTGTATTGTTTGTAGTATAAAATTTGGTAAATTCTGGATAGCATGTTTATACTTGTAAGATTTAATTAGGGACCCACCTGCGACAACGCTTGACGATGGCGGTGTGCCTTGCTGGTGTGGGGAGGTGTGTTCTCGGCATGTTTAGCTATGCTTCTAATTTAGGGCGCTACCCCCGTTGTTGTAATGTGGGGCAGAGGCGGCAAGCGATGATGGTCGGTTTTGAGTATATCCGACGAGTATATGAAGCTGTACAGGTAGCGCCCGATATTAAGAAACGTAATTTCGGGTCAAGCGAAGGGTGTGCGAAAAACGGATGATTCACACCTACTGTAGGTACTCACATTTGGGAGGATTCGGGGGGGGGACGAAGTGATGACCCCCCCCAACCGCCACATGATTTCATAAATAAAACCAGACATTCTAATTCCTATATGTAAAGGGGCACTGATGTGTCGTGGGGGTTATTGTCCATCTGCGTGCCCGCTATTATAGTCGTGTCGATCGTGCGCGCTCACCGCGCCCGTACGTACGCTGTACGACGTACCACACGTAGAGGACGAGAGGGAGAGCATGATCAGAGCACCCTCTCGTGGGGAGTGGTAGGCCTAGCTCAGGCTTTGTTGCGCAGTAGACTCGGAGTCCAGCGAAGAGAGGGAGAGGGCAGCGAGGAAGAGGAAGGGAGCGGGGTAGGGGTCTGTCTAGGAGGAGGGAGGACGAAGACGAAGAGGAAGAGGAGAAGGAGAAGAAGCGTACGCTCGAGGGGGGGGCAGAAACGCACCCCGAAACGGCATTTTGGTTGGCGTAGTTGTGCGTGAGAGAATGTCGGAACGTGGTAGGCGGAACGGTAGGTGACCGTACCACTCTCAGCTAATTGCAAGCTCCTACTGGATGAGTTCCGCGGTTTCCGTCGAGCACGGGGGTCCTTCGTTCACGCGCGTAACGGCTTGTTGCTACTCCGGGTTTTTAGTCTCAAGTGAAAATTGATTCGAGGACATGATGAAGATGGCGTGGATGACTGTCGTGTGGTTTCTCCAACAATAACACCTTGTTCTTAGCGCAGGCATTTACGGCGCATTTCAGTGCCACACAGCGTTTCGTTGGTGTATGTGTGCATATGGTGTAGGTTAAAATATGTTTGACGTGCACTAGTGAATGCATACGATGAAAAAAACAACAACCATGGAGACCCTCCCGGGGTAACCTTTTTCGTACACCGTTGGTCAAGCCTCAAACTCTTACGGTGGGCCGAAAACTCAGCGCGTTGTTCAACTTGTCATTGTGTCAAGTTCCTTTTCCCCCCGTGATTCCGAATCCTGCCTAGTTTGTTAGGCGGGCGTCAAGTGTCGTGTGTTTCGGTGTTGCGGTGGTTATATTCCCCGAGATGACCCAAGAGCCAGAATAAAAACGCTTTGTTTGGGGTTCGGCCGCTAAATCAGGTCTCCTCACGGAGGGTCCTTCGCAGGCGCCTTCGTGAAAGACAAACTGATGGAATCCTTGCCATGTGGTGCGTAAGACAGATCCGGAATCACACCACCTCCACATCAATGGTATAGTCTTCGACAGCAGTAGTCGCAGCCATTGCTGAAAAAGGGGACACAACTCTCCCTCTCTGCCAGTACGCTGGCTGTACATTTTGTGGTTGCGCATTTTTTTTTAGCTCTCAAGGAAATCATCAGAGTTGACACGTACTACACGGGCGACGCAAACATCGGTCGCGTTGGGGCCAATCAACTAGCACAGGGGGGCGGGGGGTCGCACGTTAACTGCACAGATCACGGGCAACACCCGACAATGAGCCGCCCGTCCTCAACCACATTCTCTACATCCACCAATAATCAGAACTAACGCCACAAACATCGTTACATTTTGTACACAACGACGACACTCCGTTGTCAGGTCCAGCGACGAGTAACACACCGGACCGCTATCTTGCCTCTCTCTGCATCTGTGCGTCTCTTGCTTCCCCCTCCACGAGCACCAAAACTCATCGAAGACGCATTTCGAAGCGCTTGTTCCACGAGCCGAGCAGCGGCCTAAACAATAGACTATGCCACGTCAGGCAGAACCAGAACACCAACAACCGGGTATTCTCGCGGCACCGGACCGACCGGCGGTGGGGTTTGGGCTGTGGGCGCTGTTACAAGAAGTGTGGCGCTGGAGAGCGCCGCTGTCGACGTTCCACCCATGACACATTGGCTTTCGCACGCATCTCCGGCCGCATCGAACGTCTGTCGCCCAAAGGGATGAACGAAACAGCAATACAGTTGGAACAACCTAGATATTGAGCAGAATTAATCAAGACGGAAACAGGAAATCACACTCGTTTCCTCCATCTCACGCACCGCTCAGTCGCATGCATTTACACCGTGTACGGCCGTCGTCCCCCCGTTAAAGGACACCCACCGCTAAGGACTCTCCCCGCTTTTGGGGACACCAATGTTTTTTTCAGAAGCACGGTGCCCCGCAGAATGTGAAAACGATAGGGGGTATCGTTCTAGAGACACTTCCCCGCTCCGATAACACTTAACTTCTCCAAGAAAAACGTTAGTGCTCTCAAGAGCTGGGACGTTCGTATCCCCGCGCTTCAAGGCACTCAGCACGCGGGAAAGGGTATAGTGATTGGTGGAAACAGAAAGCATGCTCAGAATATGTACAGAACCGGCCCAGCAAACAGCAGAAGCAACAAGAAAACGTCAGCACACACGCGAGTTCGTAAAAATACACCTCAGGCAGGACCAGAGAAGCGCCAGCAACAGGAAACGAAACAACAACAAAGACAGAAATGGCGAAAAAAAAGTTACAGCTGATAACAAGCTGGCCCCGCCCACACCCCGGGCCCTAACCCCATCCACGTGGCCCCCTTTTATTTTCACTAAAAACGCGACCAAGTTTAAGGAGATAATCAATGCCGTATCTGTTAAAAACGCACACGACGAAGGACGGTGCTTTCGTGGCGATGTCGGAAGCACGGTCAACGGCCTTACGATAGATACCGTGGGCAGAGACACCCTCGGTACACTCCTGGCTCTTCGGCGCGGGCTTTGCGCCGCGGGCTTCGCTTACGAGCGAACCCCAGCCGCCCTTCCTACCCACTCGTCTCGCAAGGAAATGGTACAATTTAGTGGTCAAATACACCCCACACGCCAACCAGGCGGGAAAACAAGGTCCCACTCAAGATGCCCCGCTCCCCATCCTCCTCGGACTCCTCCTCCCCCACCCCCCCCCCCCAAAATGAAAAAAATCACAACTCCCGTCGCCCCTCGTCATCGAGCGGTGCCGCCTGCCGAGGCGTAGAAGGAGCCAACGCCGCCCAAGGCAACGGGTATCCGGTGATGGGGTGGAGGCCTAAAAATCCCATCAGGTTGACCGACGCTCGCGCCTTGGGAACCTCGAGCAAACGCCTTTTGGAGACACGGCGGCGGCGAGGACGCCAACACAGGCAGGCGGGGGGTGATTTGTAAGTCAATGTATTGTTTAAGAAGTGGAGCTGGTCAATGGGTGAGAGTGCGTATTCGTGTGTGCTTGATGCATGAGAGGGGGAGGCAGCACTGCCGTAACACAGCCGAAAACAACTCGGAATGGTTCACGCGGGGGGGTCTCCTTCCGAGAGCGGGGTCATGGCATACGCGCGCACAAGGTCAAGTGTCGACGTGAAGAGAGAAAAGACACAAGAGAGGAGGAAAAGAGAGGAAAATGCCTCAGGTCACCTGAGGCCAAGAAAGACAGAGACAAGAGAGGAGGAAAAGAGAGCAGCCAGCCTGCCACCTTGAGGTCAAGAGGGACAAGAGAGGACAGGAGGAGGAAAAAGAGAGCAGCCAGCAGGCTGTCGTCATCACCTGAGGTACGCTTGGAGCACTTCCCTTCTGCTCTCCAAGAACGCCGCGCCCATCTGGTTCACCAACGGGTTGATGCACTTCGCTGTTGGCGGCGGCATTGAAGGAACGCGGCGAGGTTACGAACGTCAAGACACGCGGGCCGGAGAGGAGACAAGTCAGACACGAGAAGAACGAGCTGTCACCACACTTTCTGTCATGCGCACGCGAGAGTGAACTGTTTCTAAATAGGAATCAGGACCTAGGAAATCAGGACCAGTAGAAGAAGTGACATCGGAGGGGGAGAAGCATCGTCATCGAGATACTCTTGGCAAGCAGACTGTCGTGAGAGAGGGGAGGGGGAGCGGGGGCGGAAGGTTGGATGGAGAGGGAGACCGTTTGGGACGTCGTCCGAACACGTAAGAAGAGGCGTGTACACACGTGAAGGATGCAAGGCCCGGACAGCAGATGCAAAACAAGAGGCGGCTGTTCTTGACGCAGATAAATATTTAGTTCGATTCTCGCCTACGAAAAGGGCCAAGACTTTGCTGTCCAACGGCGGACGTTCATGTACAATCTCCCCTCCAGAACCACTTGCACTTTTCGACAACCGTACATGTAGAACATAGATAGGAGCAACTCTTGCTACGTAGGCACCAAAGTAGAGGAGAATCATCAAACCCAATCGTACTTCCTCCACCAGCACAAACAATTTTGTTCGCGGAGGGGCGACGCTTGCCTGGCAGAGGGGGCAGGCTGTCCAGCAGGTGGGACCCCCACAGCATGGCCGTCACGTCGCTGTGCAGCGATCGGAACGCCGAGAAACGCCTCCACACGACCGCGTGGTAACACCCGCCGCCCCCGTCAACCGCCTTACCCGCCCCGCCGCCGCCGCCGCAGCTATCTCTTCGTCTCGTACCGCGAAGAGTCACCACTCGAAACTCCAGAAACTCTGTGCCGAACCTGGTTGGGTCGAGACAGAGCGAGGCCCCGCGAAATCGTGAATGATGCGGTCCCAGGGGGGGCGTGGGGGTACGCGTATTTGATTGTTTGTTGAGCGCCGCCGTCGGTGGCACAGAAGTTATGCCCGGTCTGTTCTCTGCGTAAGTAGCGTGGTACAGCGGTGGTTCAGAGATAGCAACAACGTGAAACGGCGCCACGCGTGTGTAGACTAAATAGGCGGACTCCAATCTGCTGGGTATCCTGCGCATTGGACACGGAACACACGAATTTCTTTTTTTTGTCCAGGACAAGGCGTGACAAGCGGGAAGGGAAGGTCTACCCCAAAACCACGGAGAGCAGGGGGAGAGGGGGGGAGAGCAAGCGTGACGAGCCGCTTCAGGCGTTCCCGATGATGTGCTATGCAACCTGCTGTACACTCGACGCGGACAGGCAGAGGGGGGCAAAAATATCACACGTTTCAGAATCGTCTCACATTCCACGACGCTCCCCCAACATGCTTGTACCGGCACGCGAAGGGGTGAACGGCACGCACACACACACACACACACACGGCTCCCAGCAACTCGCGCGCGAGGGGGCGCAACGGCAAACGTCAGTGAACCAAAAGCGCGCAGTACAGAGAAACGCTACGAACCAAAACATGCACACGTGCGCAGTACCGAAAACGTTAATGAACCAGAATGCTTTCGAGCGTTCGGTCACGTGTCCGGAGGCATTCGTCGTCGTTGTCGCCAAAAAGAGGTACTATGGTACCGCAGTTCTTGTACCTGTCCTTGGCAGGCTCGATGCTGTCGATGAAGACCTCCCCCGGCAGAGGAACACCCTCATCGTCCCCCGTGTCGCCGACAGTATCGTTGAGCTCCGGCATGACGACGCCGTCGATGATACAGCTGTTGTGACGGGGCCGGTTTTATCAAACACGGTCGTTGTTGTTTGGGATGGTGACGTGTTGTTGTTGTTGTTGTTGGTGGTGGTGGTGGCGGTGACGTTGTTTTTTTGGGGCTATGGTGATAGTGTCACCACAGTGTAGAAACATCAAAGGGGCACCGGCATTTCGTGGCAAACAGTGCAAAAGACGTAGACAGCCGAAACATTTGTCGACGTAGGCATGGGCCATGTCTCAGCGTGAAGAAAAAACACCGCTGAGACCAGAAACAAACGCACCGCATTGGGGGGGGCGGAGCAGTGTACAGCAGTGTGCCTCGCATCGTCAAACACCACGACCACGCACAATGGCCACATCATGATCGCCGCCAATACCACCACCACCACCACCACAGCACCAACAGCAACAACGATGAATAACGCACACCGCGGTCGATCAACCCCCCGCTCTCTCCCCTGTTTCCTTCTTTCACTGTTTTCACCATCCACATCAAAACGACAACAGCAAGAGACACCTCCCCCCCCCCGGCCAGACGAAAACCAGCCCACCCCTCGACCGTTTCTGGTCTGGATCGATTTTATACTTAGAAAGTACAAGTAGTATCACAGAGAGACTACCCGTTCGAGATAAAACCACAGCAGTCGAAAGGGACGTGCTCAAGGCTTTTCAGTGAGTGGAGGGAAACCGGCTGAAAACTCGGCTTATATTGAGTCTGTTTTAAGCCTACACACTGAACTGTATCAGTGATGCCAGCTGGTGCTAAGAACAAGAGCATCTGCAAATGTAGGTGGACACAGTTCATGTAACACATGCACTGTTATTTCGTCACGCACCTGTAAAAGTACCGCCCGGGTCGGGCCGACGCCCTGTACCCCACCCAGCAGTCATGGCTCCCGACACGGACCTTCAGGGTGACCGTCTTCTTCAAGCTGCCGCCGCCGGGGGGGGGCGCGCTCTCCGCGCCTTGGACGGCGATGCCATCGACCGTGACACTCCTGCGTATACAATGCACGAAAAAAAAAAAAAGCGCGTGTTCGTCATTGTCGAGTGTTGGCGGTGGACATAAGGTGGTGGTGGTGGTGGTGGTGGTGGTGGTGGTGGTGGTGGTGGTAACGCGCGAGCGGAGGCGTTGCGGGAGCGGTGTGTTGTTGTTGTTGTTGTCTTCACATGTGTGTTGGTTGGTGGCACATGGCTGTCGCGGTGGTGAGATACTTACCTGGAGCTGCAGCAAAGACGGGAGCGATTGAGTGATGTCGGGACAGCAGTGCTGCTGGCGCTCGATACACGGCAGTGGAAGGAGGAGGGAGCTGGGTGCTTACTAGACGAAAAAAATACGTTCGAGGAGAGAGAACGAGAGAAAGAGAGAAAGGTGGCCTCAGTTCTTTATCTCCCTCTCGGACGGCTTACGTAGACTACTTTTGACGAGTTTCCGTTTTCTCCATCCGCAGCACGTGACGGGTCGATAACGAACATGCTCTTTTGTGCACTTCTAGCCGCGTTTGGCGGGCAAGAAAAGTAATGTTTGTAGTGTAAGCAGCACCAACGTTCCCACGCACCTGTGTCCCGTTAGAGGGAAGTGCCGAAGTTGCACCTGGGAACAAAAATGGCAACAGGGGGAGGAGCGACGGAAGTAACGCATGTTCGGCGCATCGAACTCCTTTCCAGCAAGAGCCGTGTGACCCCCGCGACATCGTGCAGCGAAAAGCAGAAGAAAGTTACACAACTCTTTCATAAAAGAAAAAAAAACAGTTTAAGGGAAACGCCATTATTTCATCGTCATTTTTATCCTGAACTGAGTTTAGACAAATTCTTGGAGGAAACAAAAATTGATCATTGGGTGTCAAAGGAGATCCCTACCGTTACATCTCCCCGGTCCCATAAATGTGGCCAGTTGCCAGCCAGGAACAACCCACACGGCATTCACTACTGCCGTATCTTGGGGCGTGCCTGTAGTGAAAATCCCAACCCCGCCCATGCACGACGAAAGTTGCTCTGGTCGCAAACGAGCGCGCTTTGTCCTGCCGCACCCCCCCCCCCCCCCCCCCGGTGGGTCCCCCCTGGA